GTCAACCCGCAGCTGCTCGGGGAGAGCAGGTCCGCCCGTCGACGGCCTTGCAGAGTGAGGCGACCCCGCGCTGACACGCCAACGCAGACAGGTCCTGGTCGGTACGTTGTGTTGTTTGGGCTCGTCAGAGCATTGAGTATGCTCTGCTGCTGTGGACCGAGGCGCTGGCCTCCAAGTAGTACGCAACCTCGGGCAGCTGCTGCGGCGCTCTCGACTCGGGCACCCGATGGCGGATTCCAAGTCCCGCTCTTCAGGGTGTTCAGCTCCAGGGGGCTGAGTACTATCTGGCCGTGCGTCGTCCTCGCTGCTGCTGCTGTCCGCAAGCGCCTCGAAGGAGTTCTTGGTCGACGTCGCTCCAAGGTCTGGGAGCATCTCCGCCCTCAGCGCCTGTCTGAGTACTCTTTTGCGCCTCGCCACTCTTCTTGCTTTTGCAACCGCTGTGACGTCATTGAGGTGCGATTCTGCTGGTGTTGGGCTAATGCCGTTGCTGTCGAGGTATGTATCCTGTATTTGCTCTAGCTCGTAGGCTTGTATGGGTCCATGCTGTATCTGTCGGGTGTGGTCAGTGCTTGGTTGTGTCGTGGTATGTGCATTTAATTTGGCTGTCACTGGTGGACTAGCCAGCCCCCTAGGGGTCCTTATGCTTGCCATGTGGTCTGCTTGCGAGCCCAAGTGGCTGGTGTCGAGAGGTTGGCGAGAGGGCCAGGCTCCGACGACTGCAAGTGTGGGATGCTCCCAGAGTACCCGGCGCTGGGAGGCCTCCAGATGTGATAGATCTGATAGTCTCGACCTGCTGCCTGGGTCCTCCTTCGCGCGGCTGTGCTGCCGGGATTGCGACGCCGCATGGGCCGCCGCGGCTCCCGCGAAGTGGGGTGTCGATCCTGGCGTGGCCAAGGGGTGTCGCCTTGGTCCACGCTGTTGGCACTGCGGCTGGCTGCCCGAGTAGCTCTCCCACTCTTGCTGCAGCCTCGCCCCGTCGCGGTGCTGGTTGCCTGCCTGGACCCAGATGGCAGTGGGGATCGCGGCCTGAGGGAGTCGCTCAGGTCCGCGGTTGGAGCGCTCAAACTTGGTGTCGCCGTCCTGTGGGTGGTCCCCACCCTTGCCCACAGTTGCGACGTCTAGGGAGCTAGTAATGCAGGTGGTTCGTCTGCTGCGTCTTTTGAGTCGGGGCTCCCTAGTAGAGCGTTGGTGGTTTGAAGCGGATGCGGCATCCCCCAGGCTCGCATCGGCTTGGACGTAACTATGTAGTGTGATGGAAGCTAGGTGCGATCGTGTGCGTGCGGCCAGGGGCCGTGGGTGGGGGTCGTTGGGCGTAGGCTCGTCACCGCACGGGTCTCTGAGTCTGGGCCCAATATCCCCGATGTCTTCTGGTGTGGCTGTCTGGACGCAGGCCTGGGCCAGTTGCCCCCCAGCCTGCGTGCTCCAACTCAGTTTTTTGACAGTCGACCCCCGTCGAGGTCGCTCTCGCCGCTCTCGATGAAGGATGCCACCCTGTCGCCTGGGTCCGCGAAGCCATCGTCCGCGTCGCAGATCCTGACCTTTTTCGGCTGGCTCCTCGCCCTCCTGGGATCTCTTGGCTGCTTCAGGTTACCACTGCATGGAGGTGCCGAGCTCGTCCTCTCTGGCGTGCCCAAGTGGAATCGCGGTGGTGGCAGCCGTGGCTCGTGTGGCACGGTGGGCGTGATGTCCTCAATCGGCATCCGTGGAGGCGTGCTGGGGCAAGCCTCCTCGTCGCGGCTGAGGTCGATGAACAGCGTCGTCATGGGGGTTTTGGCTGGCTGTGATCGCTGTTGTGGGGTCTTGTTTGGCGTGAGAGGCGTGACGGGCGGAAAAAGTATGTGTCTTGGCGTGGGCTGTTCTGTCGGGATGGGTGAGTCGGCTGGTAACGTAGGTGAGAGTGAGGCGAGGTCTGTCGGGGCTTCGTCCTCCTTCTCCTCGCGCAGGCCTTGGCGAATCTTCGTCTCTTCGTCCTGCAGGTCGGCGTCGTCGGATTCGCCAATTGGGATGCAGTCGCTGCTCGCCCGTACGTCGAGCAGCCCCGAGTGCGAGAATGAGCCGACGCTGTTGTGCTCCTCGATGTGCGGGCGCTGCTGAGGTGGTGGTGGCGGTAGCGGACACTCTTCGGCGGATGTCCTCGGCGCGAAGCTTTGGTCCTGGAAGCTGAGGTCGTCGCATGACGAGAGGGTGGGCTCCTCTGGCGTTGGCATCGACGATGTATGAGACCTCTCTCCGAATCCCACCTCGGCCAGCTCCTCGAGGTACGGCGGTAGTTCTGGATGTGGAAGTTCGTACTGGCTAGGTAGTAGCCGAAGTAAGTCTGCCTCCAGTTGCTCCCTCTGGTACGCGCCCTCCTGCTCCGCCATGCCTTGGTCGCGCTCACTCGTGACTGGGTCTTCCATGAGGTCGTCCGTCATGTCGAGTAGCAGGTCCTCGTCCACTTGTCCTCCTGCTCCCCAGGCGTCCCGTAGTGCGTTCTGGAGTCCTGCCGTTTGCAAATCATGTGCGCGTTGGAGGTCTTGTAGTTGCTGCTGCCTCTGTGCGTCGCTCATGTACTGGTTGTGGGCGTAGTGCTGCGCCACGGCCTGCATCTCCTGCTGGTGCTGGTGCTGCAGAGTGCTGTGGTACTGCTGCGCCACTTGGTTCTCCATCTCCTGCTGATGCTGTAGTGCCTGGAGCTCGCTTGTGGCCGCTGCTTGTCTCTGCAGTGCCACCTCCTCCATCCTTCGGGCTTTGTCCACCGCCTCCTGGTGCTCCCCGACGCGCTCCAGGTATTTTTCCTGCTCGTGTTGCATCTCATATGCCTTCGCCTGGATGGCTGCGTGCTCCAGGTTCAGGACGACCCGCATCGCTTCGCGCCTGTTGGCTTCTTCCTGGTGCTCGTAGGCCATCTGCTGGTAGTTCACTGCGATCCGCAGCTCCTCATCCTTGTAAGCGCTGCGACGGGCGCATCGCTCCTGGTACTCCGCCTCCGCCATCTCCTGCGTCGCCTTTTCATTGTGCTCCTGCGCCATCTTGTACCACTGGGCCTCCTGAGCCGCCATCTGTCTCACAGCTTGCTCTTCCTGCCTGGCCTTCTGGACCTGCTGCGTGTAGATGGCTGCTCTTCTCTGGTCTTCCTTGTGCATCTCCTCGCGTAGTGTCTTCTTTTCCAACTCAAGATGCATTTGCAAGTCCACGAGCATCCCTTTGGCCCTTTCCTCCTGTGTCCTCTGGGTGCCTCTTTGTGCCTCGTATGCTTTCGCTTCCTCCTCCTCCAGCTTGGCGTTGTGGTGCCGCTTGAGCGCGTTGACCTCCCATGTGTGCCACTCCTCCTGCTTGGCCAGCTGCACTTCGGTCGTGTGGTACATCTTTTGCGCCATGGTCTGCTCGTAGGCCTTCAGCTCGCTTTTGTGCTTGAGCTCTGCTTGTGCCAGCAGGTCGCTTTGCTGCTGTTCCTTTTTCTGCTGCGAGTCGAGCCTCTCGGTCAGTCTCCTGATGGCGTCTTTGATCTCGTCTGGCGCTGCTGGGGCTGGTCGTGGCTGCTGAGCTGCTGTGGCTGGCTGAGCTGTGGCTGGCTGAGCTGTGGCTGGTGCCGCTAGAGCTGCAGTTGGATCGCGCCTCCTCCTCGCGGCCGGGTGTGGCGTGCGTCCTCTGGTGGGATCATGGCTCCCCTCTTCCTCTGACGATTCCTCCTTTACGCCCGCCGACTTTGCCATTTGATCTTTGGTTTCCCTCATCAGGGTCTTGTAGACCCTGATGGTTCTGGCGGCCGCCGCCTCCTGGTCGAGCATCTTGCTGAGTCGCTTCTCCATCTCGGCATGCTCCTCCTCCAGCTTTTCCAGCGTAGCCCTGAGCTGCTTCATGCGCTCTTTGTGGGGCAGGACGAAGGAGATGCTCGCGGCGGTGATCGCCGCTTCCTGCTCGAGGCTGGTTGTGCACAAGCCCGCCAGCCTAGCGCCGGCGATGTTCTCGGAGAGGCGTCCCAGCCTGTGGCACTTCGTCTTGTACCACACGAACCTCATCTCCTCGTCGTCTGGTGGTGCGGACCAGCTCTCGTGCTCCATCGCGACGGCGAAGGAGACTGGCGTGATGCTGTCCAGGACTGCCTTTTGCTGGGGGCTGTACTGGAAGCTGCCAATGTAGGCTGAGGCTGGCGTGTCGAGCTGGCCCCTTCTTCTGCGCCTGCTGCTTCTCCTTCTGGCTGAGGCGCTCCTCCATGGCGCGCTGTGCTTCCAGTGCTGGTCGCTGTCACTTCGCTGCTGGTGCTGTGGGTGCTTTTGCTGGTGCTGGTGCTGGGCTGGCTGGTGGTGGTGCTTGTGGGTCTGAGGCTGCTGCTGCTGCTGCTGGCTGTGCTGCCTCTTCTGAGAGTTGTGCTGCTGGTATCCGTTGCGCTGGCGCTGGTGGTGCTGGCTGTCATCGCGGGCCCACTCCCAGGGTCGCCCTCCGATGGCTCCGATGTCTCCTGACCAGTCTCTGGCGCTGCTGCTGCGCCTGCGCTGGTGCTGCTGCTGCGCCTTAATCGTCATCTCGCTGCTGCTGTGGCTGCGCTGGTGCTGCTGCTGGCGCTGGGGCTGCTGCGCTGAGTGGTGGCTGTTGAGGACGTTGGCCGCCTCCACCACGCGCAGCAGGGCCCTCGCCGAGGAGCGGCGTGCCCTCTCCCGCCTGTGCCAGGCGGGCTCCAGAGGCGTCTGGCCCCACGTGGCGCGCCAGCGGGCGCGCAGCCAGGCGCAGGGTCGCGGCTGCGGCGTCGGCTATCGCCGACCCGCCGCGGCGCGCGAGCCCGGCCCCGCGGGCGGCCGATCACGATTGGCGTGAGTCGATCGGCGCGATCGAACGATCAGGCCGAACGGATGATCGTTCTCGGCCCCGGCCCGCCAGAGGCCAGATGGGCTTCCTCCTCCTCCTCCTCCTCCTCCTCCTCCTCCTCCTCCTCCTCCTCCTCCTCCTCCTCCTCCTCCTCCTCCTCCTCCTCCTCTCCTCCCGCCCTCCCGCCCGCACTGGGCCGTGGCGCCCGCCAGGAGGACGGCGCCAGCCGGGACGCCGACGGGGCGGCGGTTTCGGCCATGGTCGCCACGAGCGGCTCGGTGGGCATCGCGGGCGCAGCGGCGCGCGGGCAGGTGCAGGACGGCGTCGGCCCTTCGTCGTCCTCCTCGCCCTCCTCCTCGCCCTCGTCGTCCTCTCCGTCCTCCTGGCTTGTCCCTCCTCGGCCTCGCCGTCGTCGTCCTGCGGCTCCCCGCCCGCCCAGCCCGAGCCCAGAATCGACCGGCCCACCCAGCCACAAGGACTCCAGAACGACATGTGAATGGCCCAGCCACGCACCACCATCCAGTCCGACACTTGCTATATAGGCTCGAACTCTTCGAGCGGTTCCGCCGCCAAGATCGACCCACCTCGCTAATTAGCCAACCGAACAGCGACAGATGGCAGGCTCCCAGGTCCCTTACTTCCACGGCCACGGCATGGCCCTCTCGGCGATCGGACATGTGGAACACGTATTAACGAGGTGGACTACGTGTAAAAGGAAGTCCAGAGCGGCACCCAGACGGAGAGCAAGGCACTGACCGACCGCAAAGAGCTTGGGAAGAGAAGACACCGAGCTCTCTGCCCGAGAGGCCACGCGCTTGGAGACAAAAAGTCAGATGACCTGCTGAGACCGACTGGGCACTGCAGTGGGTGGCTACCGTCATCATTCGCGGGGAAACCAGGGACCGCGCGCCGACTGGCGCCGCTCCCACCGCGCGCAGCGACGCCCTCAAAAGTGCCAGCGCTGCCTGCAGCAGAGGAGCCGCCCCGCAGCCACTGGCGGCGCGGGGCGGGGGGGGGGGGGGGGGGGGGGGAGGGGGGGGGGGGGGCTCGGGGGCGAACGAGCGAGCGGCGACGGCCCGCGCGCGGCCGCTCTCGAAGTCCGAGGAGCGCCGCCCCCCCGCGGCCGCCCGCCGTCTCTCCGTCTCCTCTGCCCTCCCCCCCCCCCCCCCCTCCCCTCGCCTCGACCGCCCTCCGAGTGCTCTCGCCTGCACCTTCGCGGGCCAGAGAGCGCCCCCCCTTCGGGCGCGCGCGCGCTGCGTTCCTAGCGCCCCCCCCCCCCCCCCCGCCGAGGGCGGCAGCGGGGCGCGGGGAGCGGACCTCGCCCCCCGCCCGCGCGGGCAGGCCCGCCGGCGCAGGGGCCTTAGCCGCGCGTCCTGCAGGGGGGCCCCCGAGAGCGTGCGGCCCGGAGCCTCGGCCCGGCCTGGGCGCAGCTCTCCGCGGCGCTGAAGCGAGAGCCGCGTTTTGAAAGCGGGTCGCCATCCATCCGCGAAGCTCTTGCGAATTTCAAGTTTCAGGATCATAATTGGCGAGGAAGTTTCAGGCGAAACTTCCGGCCCGCCGTTTCGCCATTTATAAAGAGGAGGGATAAAGCAGGAGGAGGAGGAGGAGCCGGAACAGGAGAAGGAGCAGGAGGACGAGCATGCGAAGGAGAAGCATGAGTAGCAGGTGCGGGCGCAGAGAAGAAGGAGGAGCAGGAGCAGGAGAAGAATAATAAGAAAAAGAAGAGGGAGAAGAAGGAACAGCAGGAGCAGTGGCAGGGGCAGGAGAGGTGCCGAGATCGCTCTTGCCTCTTTCCAATCTCGTCCTTTTCTGTCCGCCCTGTGCTTGCACGATGTGGACTCATAACCGGTAAACCGAGAGGGACGCGGCGGCGGCACGCGAGGACGGCGTGGCGCCAGGAGGGCCCCTGGGCTGGCCAACGGACGACTCGGCGGCCTCCACGGGCGAGAGCCCGGCGCCAGCGCAGCGCGAGATCTGCGAGGAATCGATCGAGGCGCATCGGGCAAGGGGGGGGCGGGAGGAGGAGGAGGAGGAGGAGAAGGAGGAGGAGGAGGAGTCCGTAGCCATTTGGGCTCAAGACTTTGATCGATACTGCACTCTGCACTGTCTGCATTGTCTTCATACGGCTGCCCCCACCGTCGTTTGGTGAGTGGGCGATTCGCGCGCCAGCCATGCCTCGCCAGCGTGGTGGCTTCACCGTGCGTCACGGCAACACGGTGACTCACGTTGGCGACGTCCGAGCTGCGGCGCAACTGATGAAGGAGCTAAATGATGACTTGGATGCCACCCGAGGCATGCAGTGCCTCCACGGCTTCCAAGGTCTCCTTCGGGAGGCCCAACAGTTGCTGCGGCTCGAACGCAAGGCATCAACGGAAGATGTACGCGTTGGCCTTGTGATGCGCGGCCACAAGACCTTGGCAAGAGAGTTTGACAGTTGGCGAGCGGGTCGCCGTGCAGTGGCTCACCCAGACGATGAATCTCTCCCACAGCGTATCCTTGACGGGCTTCGAGCTCCTGTTGCTGAAGCTTCGGCCAGTGAGGCTTCGATCACATCGGGATGCGAGGCAACGGTTGCAAGTCTGGGCAAGCATCAATATAAAATATTTCACATGAAGGAGAAGGCCGCCCAGCTGGAGGACCAGCTGAAGGTGCTAAATTCCAAGTTAAATTTCACCATTGGGCTGCTTGAGCGGGTTGACTGCCTCGAAGCCATTT